CGGCCCGGAATTAAAAAACAGGCTCCAGCCGCGTCCGCGCGCACGACGACGATGAGCGACGAGCGACGAGCCACGAGCCACGAGCGACGACGACGTCGACGACGACGACGACGTCGACGACGACGGCGACGACGACTGCGGACCAGACTTCTATGCGGATTCCTATGCGGACACCTACGCGGATCCCAATGCGCACGGCGGCAGTGCCCGGAGCGCACGGGGGGGGGGAGCGTTACGTCTTAGGGGGGGGGGGCGGGGGCCATGACGCCCGTCATGCCCAAAGCAATGAAGAAATGGCTTCCTCGCGATTCATGTTCACGCTTCGGCAGCCCACCTGCTCGACCTGGCCGCTTGGACCCGCCTTCCCGACCCGCCCGGTAGCCCGCCCGATCAGCCCGTCTGATTCTGCCTCGTGCTTTCTGCTCCTAGCCCCCTCCTGCTAATCTCTCTCGTGTTCTGTCCTCCCCCCTCCCTCTTCAATCCGTGTTCTCCTCCCCTGTTTTGGGGGTTGCGCCAACTACACGCCGCAGGTAGGGAAGATACACCCCCAAGGGTGGTAGATCGAAGACGAATAGGGCGGGTATCGAAGTTTGGGGATACACGTGTTGAGCCGCATGCGAGCAGGTAAGAGCGAGCAGTCTTGAGATGATTATTGTTGTACTTGTTGATGTCCGTGGATTATCATTTCTTATATAAAAATATTGTTGGTCCCCCTTCCGGGGCACATTGTGTTTTTCAATTGAAGTGCCTTTCCCGCGGTTCGCACCCTGTTTTCTTAACAAAGGAAAGCGAGGGGTCACCAAATTGGGCCCGTGGCCGCCGAGTTACAAAGACAACGGCTCCCGCTGGATACTTCCTCACAATGGATTCCCCAATCGCGCTCTCGCGTAAGACTTCCTCGCATTGTATTCAGACGCCGCGCCCTCGACACTCAGGAACCGCGCGTTCGCTTTGACTTTTCTCATGATGTTCTGCGGACTCGCATTAACCGCTCGAACACTCCTCGCGATTCATGCATTAGCCCTGCTTCAGCAACCCGCCTGCTCGACCTGGCCGCTTGGGCCCGCCTTCCCGGCCCGCCCGTTAGGTTCTACCCACCCGATGGGCCCGTCTGGTTCTGCGACGTGTTTCCTGTTCCCAGCCACCCTCCTGCCAATCCCGTGCCCCATCCTTCTCCCTCCTCTTCCATGCGTCCTCTCTTCCCCTGTTTCAGGTTCTTCGCGAATTACGCGCGGCAGGTATGGAAAATATACCCCCAGGGAGGTCCGATCGAAAATGAAAAAGGCGGGTACCGAGGGTTTGGGATATCAGGTTGAATGGCACGCGAGCAAGTAAGAGCGAACTGTCTTAAAAGTATTGTTGTTGTTGCTGCTGTTGCTGCTGTCGTCGTCGTCGTCGTTGTTGTTGCTGTTGGTGAATACTCATTCCCTGAAACGGTTCCGCGCGCTCTCGCCCCGATGCTGGCTGCACCTCCTCTGAAAACGAAGCTCCCGATCGAGCGCGGGCTTGAGTGTAAATGTGCGCCCTTGGAAACCCAGCTACAACGCCAACGGTTCCCGCTCGATACTTCGTTTCAGTGTACCCCGAAACGCCCTGGCCAGAGAGGCCCCCTAACTCAGGAACGGCGCTATCGCTCGAGACCTCCTGGCAATTCAATCAAGTTGGCGGAGGCCCAGCCACGACGACAAGGGCTCCTGCTCGATACGTCCTCACGATTTACTCCGAGACCTCCTGGCCAGGAAGGCCTTCGTACTCAGGAGCGGCGGTTTCGCTTGAGACCTTGTCGTGCTTCAGGCAAGTTGGTGGAGGCCTAGACACGGCAATAAGGACTCCCGTTCGATATTTCCAATGTGTATTCCGACAGCCCCTGGCCAGAGAGGCCCCCGAACTCACGAACGGCGCTCTCGCTCGAGAGTTCCTCGCTTTTCAGTCAGTGGCCAAGAAGGAGGAGATTCCCCCCGAGAGGGGGTGCGATCGAAAACGAAATGGGCGGGTATCGAGGGATGTGGTAAGTTATACAGAATGCAAGGCACGCGTGTCAGTAAGAGCGAAAAGTCTTAAAGTGTTTGTTGATGATGTTGTTGGTGTTGGTGTTGGTGTTGGTGTTGGTGTTGGTGTTGGTGTTGGTGTTGTTGTTGGTGTAGTTGTTGTTGTTGTTGTTGTTGTTGTTGTTGTTGTGGTTGTTGTTGTTGTTAGCGACGCTTGCTTGCGCCAACATGCACGGAACAATAAAGCTCTACCATTCCGTGTGTCCGGTACACGGAATCATAGCGGCCTGTTATTCCGTGTATCGAATACGCGGGATAAAAGCGGCCTATTACTCCATGTGTCGGACTCACGAAAAATCTCATCTGGGCGCGGCGCTCGAAAAAAAAACAATTCCTTTACGTATCCTTTTTTAGAACGCAATTTCTGCGCCCGGCGACCGGATCCTCTGGGAGCTCCCGGGCCGGCTCCCCGGTCAAATACACGGAATAATAGAGGCCTAATACTCCGTGTATTCGATACACGGAATAATAGCGGCCTATTGCCCCGTGTATCCAGGGCCAGGGGGTGCCGCCAGTTTGTTGATGTTGTTGTTGCTGTTGCTGTTGCTATTGTTGTTGTTGCTGCTGTTGTTACTGCTGAACTCTCACTCCCGAAGCATAAGTATTATTGATCCCCCTCCTCCAGTAACAGATGGTTTTCCAAGTGAAGTGCCCTTCCCGGGGCTCGCACCATGTTTTATCTTAGCAAGGCAGATATTAATTATCAAACTGCGTTGTTGGGCCCCGAACTATAACAACAACGGCTCTCGCCTGATTCTCCCTCACAGTGTATTCCCAAATCGCGCTTTCGCGCGAGAATTCCTGATACTTGATTCAGGAATCGCGCTCTCCGTGAGATTTCTTCGCAATTGATTCAGTCGCCGCGCCCTCGACATTCAGGAGTCACGCTCTCGCTGTGGATTTCCTTACGATTGATTTGGGAATCGAGCTGTCTCTCGAGACTTCCTTGCGATTCATGCAGGACGCACGCTTCAGCGGCCCGCCTGCTCGACCTGGCCGCCCTCCTCCCGACCCGCCTGGTAGGGTCTACCCGCCCGATCTGCCCATCTGGTTCTGCCACGTGTTTTCTGCTCCTACCCCCCTCCTCCTAGTCTCTCTCGTGCTCCATCCTCCTCCCTCACCCTTGCCTCTTCCTTCCATCCGTCCTCTCTTCCCCTGCCTCAGGGGCTGCACGAAATACACGCTGCAGCTCAGAAAGATATACCCCCAAGGGGGTACGGTCGAAGACGAAGAGGGCAGGTGTCGAGGGTTCGGGATATACGTGCCGAGTGGCACGCGAGCAGGGAAGAGCGAACAGCCTTAAAATGAATGTTGTTGTTGCCTTTTGTGTTTGATATTGTTGTTGATGTTGTTGCTGTTGTTGCTGTTGCTGTTGTCGTTTGTTATTGTTGACAAGTGTTGTTGTTTGTTGTTGTTCGTTGTTTGGTGTGGGTTGTTGTTCGTTGTTTGTTGTTTGGTGTCGTCGTCCCGCCCGCGACCCGACCCGCGACCCACCCGCGACCCACCCGCGAACCACCCGCGACCCACCCCGCGACTCACCTGCGACCCACCCGCGACCCACCCCGCGCGACACACCCCGCGAAATCCTGGGGGCCCACCCGCGACCCACCCGCGACCCACCCCGCGACCCACCCCGCGACCCAGCCGCGACCCGGCCGAGACCCAGGGCGCGACCCGCCCGCGACCCACCCGCGACCCACGCGCAACCCATCCGCGACCCACCCGCGACACACGCGCGACCCACGCGCGGCCCACCAGCGACCCACGCGCAACCCACCCGCGACCCACCACGCGACGCATCCCGCGACACACCCACGACCCACCCGCAACCCACCCCGCGCCCGCCCCCTCACTCTTATACGCAACTGCGGGGTGCTACATATATTTTTCCTGCACGCCGGCGCGGCCACGGCAGCGAGTGCACCTTGCACCGCCAGCGCTGTGCTAAACTTGAGCTGTTGCGTAACACGAGCTTGGCTTGGCTTGAAAACTGGCCTGGGCCTGTCAGGGAGGAGGATGCGGGGAAACACTATGGGCGAGAAGGGGACCGGAGGAAAGTAAGGGGCCCAGATATCCGATGTTTATCTTTTTCCACACGGGCCTCCGCGTTGCCCCACACTATCCCCAAGGCCAGCTTTTCAATCTGAGTCGCTTTTTTGCTTGTCCTCGCTCCCAGCGAGGGCGCCCAGACGCCGAAAACTGAGAAAAACTGTTATATAGTTTTTCAGCGCGTTGGAGTTCTGGGGGGAGGCAGATCCTACATTATAAAATTGCCCGCGCAGGACTAGTTTCCAGAATGGGCTCCCTGCTCACGAAGGAGATCCGCAGAAGGCACCTATACACCACCACTATGCCTGGCCAGGGCCATCCTGGGCTCTGGCATGGTGCACACCCCCCCGTGGCCTCGGCCAGAAAGGTGCACCACGAATGTGTGCTTAGCCTGTTGCGGCCGCGGTCTGGGCGACACGATATGATATGCCCTGCGAGCTGGTAAGATGTCGCTCCGCTCTGCGGGCGGGAGGCTTGGAAGAGCTCGAGACGTCCACACTCGAAAACCAGGATGTGATTAGCGTGTCGCGCCGAGGCGCGGTGGGCCAAAACCGGCGGAGCGACACGTTAAGCAAACGCTCCTGATCGTAATTCTGCACCATCCTACGCCCTACGGCCCAGGATGGCCCTGACCAGGCACGGTGGGTGTACAGATGCCTTCAGCGGAACAGAATGCAGGCGTGCGCCCTAAGCTCAATGGAGAGCTGAAAACCAAGCGCGCCGCTGCAGCGAAACGAACAGCTCGAGGTTCGAGCGCGTGCCCGAATCATGCGGCCCCGCAGGAACAGAAGTAACAGATTCGCCCGGCCTGTCGCCAAGCGGGACATCGGAGCGGCCATAGGATAGAGGCAGGAAGTTGACAACTTTTATGCTCACATTGTTCGCTGTTACCTCATTTCATGCCTAGATCAGCCCCTGCACCTTGTACTCCTCGAGTACAGCTTCGACATCACGCTTGCAGCCGATTACCACCGGGCACTTCTCGTGGATCTTCGTCGGCACGATGTCCAGCATCCTCTGGACCTTGCCCTTAAACAAGCCGCACGAGGCCATGCCGCCCGCGGCCTCCATGATCATGGCCATCGGAAACCCCTCGTACAGCACCCTCAGCTTCCCGTTCGGCTCCTTTTTGTCCGCGGGGTAGAGGTAGACGCCGCCGTACAATCCGCCACCGTGACTCCTGGCACGTTGAGGCTCGGCAGAGTGCCAACTGCTGCCTGGTAGTGTTTCTGCGATCTTCGGAAGCCTCCTGGTCACGCTTCGCCACGTGCACCGCCCCACCCCTCCCGAGGTCACGATCCCGCGGACATACAGGACTCCCGAACACGTGCGCTCACGACGTACCCGGACCGGAATCCGTGGCTAGAGCATTGGAGTGCTTCCCCCTGCCGCGCAAGCGCTGCATCGGTGGTCGGTGGCAAAGGCCGCCGTCGAGCCAGAAGAGTGGCTGGGGAGGGCAGGTCCTTCAACTATGCCTTCACTATGGAGGTCCTGGCCGAATGCGTTCCAGGTTATTCTTCTGCGGTGCCAGGAGCGGCGGCCAGCTCGGCTGGTGGTGCTTCCGCCTCCTCCTCTGCTGCTCCTCCCCCGCGACCGTATAGCCTCTCCTCAGACGGCATGCTGATGCCAGCCTCATCTGTCACCTACGCCCCTCGCCTAGACACGGCTCCAGGTCCAGCCTCACACCAGTGGAAGTTTGTGAAGCCAAATTTCTGGGGTTGTAAAGTATGCTGCAAGCGCAGTCACGCTGAAGTGCCTTCCGTAACAGAAGTCTGCACTGGGCATAATGCCGTTTTCGGTGCAATTGCCGCAAACTCCCTGTTGCACAGGATTCATACAGCCTGCCACGACTCCCATAGTTTGATATTTGTATGCAGCGCATGTGGTTGCATATGCCAGGGCCGACGAGCCAAAGGCCTTCTGAAAGACTGTGGTGGTAGTTTAAAAGCCCCCAACAGAAACAACTGGCAACGTATGTTAAAGAAAATGCATCCAGACCCCGCCAAAGGCGACGCGAAGGTGCAATATGAGCACTCGCCGCTTTCCAGTCTGTTCCATATTTTCAGCGAGCGTGTCGCTCCAGTCTTGATAGATGATCGAACAACACTTGCAATACAGTTTCCGGTGACCGTTGGTCCAGAGCTTCCGCCGAATGTCATCGCACCACGGTTCCGCCAAAAGCGAGGCCAATGTGCTAGATGAGCTTCTTCCGCTCAGCCAGCTTTAGCGCCCAAGTCTTGCGCTGGCACCGAACCAGGCGAACATCAACAGAAAACAAGCCAAAGCGTTCCAGAGGCCACGACCGCTCGCAAAGACCATGGGTCCGCGCTCCGGAGCGTCCAAGACGGCCCAGGCAGGTCACTAAGGCCGCCAAGAAGGCCCCATGTGGCCCCACTACCACCAGCCCTGTGGGCGCGAGCGGTTTAGAGCGCTTCATCTTCCATCTTCCCTCTTGCCCTTCGGCCAAGGATTTGCCCCTCCCCCGACCTCCCCCCTGGGCCTGGACGGGGCGCCCCGCGACCGCTTGGAGCGTCCAAGATGACCTCAGCGAGAAACCAAAAAGCGCTGACTTTACTTATGTTTTTGGCAGGCTTGGCCTCCTGGGAGAGGGACCCTAATTGAGCCTCCTCCTTCTTTGACCGATCTCCTCCAAGATGGCTCCCGAGGCTTCCAAGAGTGCCCCAAGGGGGCCCCAAGAGGCGTCCAGGAGGCCGCAAGAGGCCTCCAAGAGGTCCCCTGAAGGCCCAAACAGGCTCTCCCGAGACACCCAAGACGCTCTAAGATGCCCCAAGGACCGGCCAAAGGCCCCCAAGACGCTCTACGAGGACTCACAGAAACTGTCAGGAGACACCCGAAGGGACTCCGAGAGGCATCCAAGAGACCTCTGGCCTTTCTGCTCGCCCTCCTCCTCCTCCTCCTCCTTCTCCTCCTCCTGCTCCTCCTCCTCCTCCGCATGTTGCACACCCTCCCTCCTCCAAACTTCCCCATTCACCCCCTCCCTACTCCTCCGATTCCTCTTCCATCCTCCCCCCCTTGGGGTATGACGTCTTCCCCAGCCCTGCGTGTCCCTCCACATCCCTGATCAGGGCAACTCACCCGGGTATCGGTTCTGGATGGGCTGGTGGGGTTACGAGAGGCGTCCATGGTATGGCGCTGAAACGGCCCAAGAGGCCTCCAAGAGGGATCTAAGAGAACGTCCAGGAAGGCCCGAAGAGGTCAAAACCATGAACTCCCCTTGAGTGCGCGAAGGATGTTCGCAGTCTCGCCTTGTCGGGCGGCCGTCGGCTCAAGAAAGTCCAAGAGGTCTCCAAGATGGGCCAACGGCGGCTCAAGACCGCCGCGAAATAGCACAAGGGGCCTCTACGGCGGCCTCAGAAGGCCTCGAGGGTGTGTCTGACCAGCCGACGACGGACCCAAGAGGGCCCCAAGCTGGCCCAAGAGAGCCTCCGGAGGGACCCAAAACGGCGAAGAGGACCCCTGGACGGCCTCATCATCATCATCATCATCATCATCATCATCATCATCATCATCATCATCATCATCATCATCATCATCATCATCATCATCATCATCATCATCATTATCATCATCATCAACATCATCATCACCATCATCACCATCATCACCATCATCACAATCATCACCATCATCGTCATCATCATCATCATCATCATCATCCTCATCCTCATCCTCATCCTCATCCTCATCCTCATCATCATCCTCATCTCAATCGTTTTCATCGTCACCTCCTCGTCCTCGTCCTCGTCGTCCAGGATGATGGCCGCGTGCGGCCCTCGGACCAGCAAGGGGCCGAATATGTGCAACCTGGGGCACCACAGAGAGGGGTAGGGAAGCGGCCCTGGCCGACCCCCCCAAGCCCCCCTCGGTCGGAACCACGGAGAGGACTGGAAGGGGGGAGCGGAAGGGGAGGAGGAAACACACAAAAAGGACAGGGGGGCGAGAGGAAACATAACAAAAGGGAGGAGGGGGGGGTCCCGACCAGAGAGGGGCAAGTGGAGCCAGCCAGGGGGAGAGTCCAGATCCACGCCTCAGGAGCCCAAAAGTGACGACAATTACAGGATCAGGATGGCCCGCTCGGATTGCTGACGCGATCTGGCGGCCCCGCAGGGCGGGGGGTTCCCGCCTGAGACTTCCTCACAATTCACACGCGGACAAAACTCGCTCGAGACTTCTCCCAGATCCACGCCTCAGGGGCCCCAAAGTGACGGCGGCCCCTATGGGGAGGGCCCCCCCGCTCGAGACTGCCTCGCTATCCATTCGCAGGCGAGGCTCTCGCTCGAAAGATGGTGGTGGTGGTGACGATGATGACCGTCATCGCATGGTGAGTGAGTGAGTGAGCGAGCGAGTGCGTAAGTGAGTAAGTGGGTGAGTGAGGAGTGAGTGTGAGTGATAGTGATAGTGCTAGTGATAGTGAGTGGGTGAGTAAGGGATAGAGTGAGTGTGTTAGTAGGTGGGTGGGTGGGTGAGTGATGATGCTGTTCATAATGGTGCTGATGACGATGGCGATGCCAGGGAGGGTTGCCGTGGCAATTGTATCTTTTTAGAACAACTGACGGTGGCAGCGGCAGGAAGCGATGCCTCGGCTCCAAGAGCGACGGCAGACACGCGCAGACAGCACAGACGTCGAATTTCAATGTCAAAACCCTCAAGCGAGGGCGGATGGGCCTGGGAGCTTGAGCACAAACACGTGCAGCTGTGCGGCCACTCTCCCCCTACCCCAGCACAGTCCACGCTAGAGTTGTTGCTATGCCAGGGAGGGTTGCCGTGGCCATTGTATCTTTTTAGAACAGCTGGCGGTGGCGGTGGCAGGAAGCGATGCCTCGGCTCCAAGAGCGACGGCAGACACGCGCAGACAGCACAGACGTACCCTGTGTACTGCTACATCAGGGCCGAAGGCCGGCAAGACTATACATTCTGGACCGAGACAGATCTTCAATAGCACTGACGAGGGAGTCGGCAACAAGCTCGGCGGCTCTGACGGGGATGCGCGCGGCCTTATGTCGGCAAGCCACGCCGCTGGCCGTGCGACCGTTAAATTGTAAATGGGGCCGCCCCGAGAAAGAGCACGCATAACTATGCGGATTGCAACGAGCATTGAGACGCTGGAGCTGCGGGCAGTGCCAGCTGAATACTTGCGTTGCCGAGCGGGTGGATGATCCACACTGGCAAGGGCCCAGATCAATCTGATGAAAAGACGGGAGATTCACAAGTGATTGAAACTCGGGCAATGCAAAAATATGGATGGTGAGAGCCGCGCGCGTTTCGACACTGTCGGGCCAGAAGGTTGGGAACTTAGACCGAAGGTCAGCAGGCGCGGCCCGACCCCGCAGATCAGACAGACTGCGGACAGGAAGGGGCCCAGACTCGATCCAAGACCCTCTCGGCAGGGAGCGCCAGCAGGCACAGGCAGCCGACGATCGAATCCACCCGGGGAGTCGATCCACGACCGCCCGCTCAGTCAGACCGAGACCCGCATTCCGACCTGCGCCAAACGTGGGACAACCCGCGCCGCGCCTGCGCAACGCTTTGCACATGGGGGCCCCGCGGGGCCCGACCACTGGCAAAACGAGCCGACGGCGGCGGGGCGCCCGCGCATGGGCACGTCGAGAAGCCGACCCCATACGAGAAACTACTCTCCGGTCAGAACAGGCGCCCGCGCCGCGGCCCGAGGCGCGACGGGCGCGGCCTACGGCGGGGCCTCTAGCGGGCAGGGGCCCATCACGAACGCGGTCTCGATCAGCTCCGACATCTTCGCGAATACCTGCTCGCCGAACTCGGCGACTTGCGTCGGAAGGTCCCTGATTCGCCGCTGCGTGCGAGTCTGTTTTCCGCGCCTCCTTAGCGACTTGCCCGAAATCCATCTCCCTCTCCTTCACTTCCGCTATCGAGCGAGCCCCCGCAAGCAGTCGCGCGAGGCCCCCCCGTGGCGGAGGGCGCACAAGGACGGGGGCTCCTTCTGCAGCCCCAGACCCATCAGGGCCCAGCGGAACATCACGCGCACGTCGGCGGGCTTGAAGTTCCAGAGGCTGGCGCCTGCAGGCGCGTTGAGCGTCGGCGCGTGCAGCGCGGGCCAGAGCCCGGGGGCGTCCACCAGGACCGACTCGCCCGTCGCGCCCGCCTTGCCGGGGCGACCCGACTTCGCATCGTTCGCGACGAAGCCCCAAGTGTTGAAGCCAGATCCAGGGATTGGCGGCGCCAGCGAGCCCGCGCGCACACGGTGGGCCTCCGACGGCCTGAGGTGCGCGTGGAAGACCAGCGCCACGAATGCGGCCATGCTGGGCAAGTTCATCCAGATGAGCCAGCCCGCCACCGCCATCGCCGCCGAACGTGGAAATGGCAGGCGCATATGTGGCGGAAGGCGGAACCAAACGGCGCCAGCCATCGAGGGCCCGCGCAGCTCGGGGAAGCGGGCGCTTCCCGCTGAGGATGCGGGGCAGGAAGTGCCGCAGCGCCGCGACCGTCATTCCCCCCGTCGCCGCGTCGAAACCGTCCAGGGCCAAGTCCGTCAGGAAAGACACCAGCATCGCGTCGAGCTGGCTGGCCGTGACGAAGTCGTGCTCGTGCCGCCCCAGCCACTCCAGGAATCGTAGAGCATGGCAGCGGCGCCGAGTTCTCGTCGCATCCGAGACGGCGGAATCCTCGAGGAAGCTGATGGCACCCCTCGGCCAGCTCCTCCGTTCGAGGACTTAAGGCCTGCGCCGCCACGATCGTCGAGGCCAGCTGCTTCGCGGAGGGCACAATCCGCCGCGGCGTGGTGCGCCTCCTCGAAGCCTTTGCCGTGGAAGAAGCCATGGCGAGACGGCCAGTCGGCTGCGTTCAGCTCCGACGGCAGCCAGCGCACATAACACCGAAGACTGGTAGCGAGTGCAAGGGCCGCGATCCTTCGCACGGGTCGCCGAGGAGTCGGCCTGCGGCACCCCCGTTGCCAGCAGCCAGAGCCAAAGGTAAAGTATCGACGGGGAACAAGTGACGGCGGTGGCGGGGCGAAACGTTACGAGTGGCATGCCGAACAGCATCGCGCAACGCGTCGCCTTCATGATGCAAAATTTTATTGAGGGGGTTCCAGTGCCTCCTGGAGATGACGGCGGCCCGCGACGAGGCCTGCATGAGCTCCTCGGGGATCTCGCAGGGGCCCCCGCTGAAGCCCGCGGGGTCGGACGTGACGAGGCCCTCCAAGAGATCCGAGACGTCGGGGGGCCCATCGAGACCAAACGCGTCAGCTCTTGCCGACGCCGCCGAAATACATCGACAACGCCACTTCCCCGCCTGCCTCCCAATCTCGGCCGCTCGGGGCCCCTCAGGCCGACGAGCACGCGCGCCGGCGCCAATCGGAGAGGCGCCTGAGACCGAGACGTGCGAGTCCCAGGGGGTGTTCATGTGCGATGTCCAGAGCGGCAGAGCGCTAGCGACGCACCAGAGCTCGAACTTGACTGAGCCCCGCAAGGGCCGAACGCCAGGATCCTTCAAGAACTTGAAAGCGCAAGCGGACGACATAATGGAGAGGGTCTCTCTTTTGCGAATATTGCCCGCGCGATGTGCCCCAACAGGACGTCGAGCATGCGAGGCGAAGCGGCCCCCCGCCGCAAGGCGGCGAGGAGCGCCTGACGAAGCCGCATCGCGCTGGGCGGCTTCGCCCTCGCGGCCCCGAGGTCGCCGTTGATTTCGAGGCCCGTGAAGACAGAGACGGGGGAGGCGACGTCGATCGAGTGAACGGGGAGCCCCCGAGCCTCCAACGCCCTGGCGACCTGGCCCCTCCTCGCGGCGACGATCTCCGCGTCGCCCCCGACGATGGCGAAGTTGTCCGCGCAGCCTGCCGCAGCCGCGCTATCCCTCGCCAGGAGGGCGGGGCTTGGGCGGCCGTCCTCGATGAGGTCACCGTCGCCGAAGCAGTTGTGCGCGAGTGCCCTGCGCATGATACCCTGGCAAACCAGAAGCGACCAGTTCCAGCCCATCGGCAAGACGCACCATCGGCTGGAGGATGCAGGAAGTTTTGGGCCGCCCGTCGATCTGCTTGATATTCAGCAAGCGGTTGGAGATAGTGGGGAGCGCGAAGAGCTCCTCCATGCCCTTAGGCACGAGCACGCGGTGGAAGGCGCACTGGATGTCGCCCTGGGCCAGCACCGCGGGATGCTCGGACTCCAGGGCGGCCCGCGCGGCCGCCGTGGGCAGCGTGGTCTTGGGCGGCGCCGCGAAGCCCTCGTTCGCCGCCCTCGTGTCGAAGACGAGGCGCAGCGTGCCCTTGCCAACTTTCTCGACAAAGAAGAATCCCAAACTATAAGGATTAGCAGCACGTGCCGCGCGGAAACAGATCATGCACCTTGTAGCAACTTCCCGACGAAGCCAGGGTAGGCTCTGGGGCTGTTGGCCAAAATCGGGTCGACGTAAAGACGCTGCGGCACTGAGGCCGTTCTCGGGGCCGAAGCAGACGACCCACCTTTGAGCGCGGTCCGTCTCCATCCCGACAGACGTTCGCGCTCGGCCTCTCCAACGAGATCAGCGACTTCGACTGGCGGCGTTGAGAGATCAGGCCAGGACATCAGGTCCTCGTTGTAAGGCTTGACGCGCTGGGCCTCCGCGGAGTAGCCGGGCGCCGACGCGAGCAACTCCGTCAAGGCTGCTTCGCCAGAACGACGATCCTCCTGATCTTCAGGAGGACGGGGGAAATTTTGATAGGCCCGAGAGATGCGATCCATCGCGCTCGCCTGCGCCGCCGTCGCCATCAACCCAGGCGGTGCTGGCGCTGGAGACGAGTGGCCGCTCAGCTGGCTCAGGGAGGCGATGCCGTCGTTCGCCCATCGCCTCCAAGCCGCCACGCGCTGGGCGCGCCAGCGCCCCCGCCGACCGCGACAAGCTTCCGCGCGAACGTCCGCCGCCAGGGCAGGGAGAGGGAACGCGTCGCGCCGTCGAACTCCAGGGCCCATCGCGTGACAAAGCGGGCGGAGGCAAAGCCGCCGCGAAAATGCAGGTCTCGCCCAGGCGGCGCCGAGGTGCCTGCGCCCGCCTGGGAGAAGCTTTCGCATGGCTATGCGCGCGCCGCCCGCTCTTCGCGGGCTTCGCGCCTCTCCTTGGCGATGGCAGCCTCCGCCTTCAGCTGCTCAGCAATGAACTCGGTGAGAGCGGGGGCGATGCAGAGGTTGCCCTTGCTCGCCGAGACTCCCACATAGTGGTCCGCCTCGACCGCCAGCAAGCTCTCGCTGGTGGCGGAGGCCTTCTTGTCCTTGCCCGACCGCTTATCCTCGGCAGCGACCTGGGCGGAGACAGCGCCCTCGCAGTGCCGCTCCTCGATGAGCTGGATTTGACGGCAGATGAGCTCGAACGCAGCGAGCTCAGAGCAGTTGACCTGATCATAGCAGCTCCCGAGCTCGAGCAGCCTACAATTCATCTCGTGCTGCTGGCAGATGGAGTCGGTATCGCGCAACCGAGGTTCCGCCTTCCACTTCGGATGCCACGCCACCGGGCCGCCAGCAGTCCTGCGCATGTGATCAAGGCACCACTGGGTGGTGCGCGGCCCTTTAATCGGCCTGTCCGCCTGCGGTGTAGACGAAGCCTGGAGGGCCGCGGCCGTGAAATCGAGCGCCCGACGGCCCGAGGCGTCCCGCGCCAGTTCGAGCACAGAGCAATCAGCCGCGGCCGCGCCTGGGGCGGCTGCCACGGGCGCGGCGGCGCCAAGCGCGCCAACGCCGGCGGCGGGCGCCGCCGCGGGAGCCGCCGGCGGCGGCAAAACCACCCCGAAGGCGGCCGCCAGGGCCCCAGCACCGCCAAGGCCCGCGGCGGCGCCGCCAGCGGCGGGGGCGGCCGCTCCATCGCCCGCGGCGCCAGCCCCTGCGCGGCCGCACGGGCAGGGTCGTCCAGCGGCACGCGCTGCGGCACCCAGGCCGCGCCCACGCCCACGCCTCCCGCCACGACGAAGGGTGTCGGGGGCATCGGCGCGCCGAGCAGCCCCGCAGCAACGCGCAGGTGGGCCCACATGGCGGCTGCGTTCGGGACGGCCACGAACCTGTACGCGTTGGCCTCGGCGATGCCGAAGAGCGGGGCGCCGAGGCCCCTGAGCGGGCGAACGTCCTGAACATCCGCGTCCACAACAGTCGTCTCCTCAGAAACATCCCCATCCACCGTGAGGACCATTGCCGCTCCAGGCGGCACGTCAATCCGGGTTATCCGCTCATGATGCACAGCAGGCCCTCCCGCTCGATATCGGACGGCATGCACTTCACCTGGCGACGGCATTATGACTGGCGGCCCGCGCCTGCTGCGAGGCCAGGGCGCGGATGCCAGTGGGCGGCTCGGGCACGACCTGCCCGTGGCCCCCTGCGGCCTGAGCTTTCCAGTTCCAGGCCGCAGGGAGCACAAAAACGCCCACGAGGAGGCCGAAGAAGAAAAACACAGCGTGGCTGCCCCAAGCGGTGACCACCTGCAGAGCGTGCTGGCCTTCGATGCTGGGGCACGTGATGCTGTACGTCGGCGAACAATCGCACGAGCAGGATGGGCAAGCAGGAGGCGGTCCCGACGTGGCAGCAGAGCCTGGGAGGCGCCGCGCGAGATATCCGAGAGGAATCGCGTGGCGGCGGCTTGCATGCCCCACAAAAGCTTGAGCACAAACATTTGCAGCTGTGCGGCCACTCTCCCCCTACCCCAGCACAGTCCGTACTAGAGTTGTCAGTATGATGAGGATGATGGTGATGGTGATGGTGATGGTGATGGTGATGGTGATGGTGATGGTGATGGTGATGGTGATGGTGATGGTGATGATGATGATGATGATGATGATGATGATGATGATGATGATGATGAGTGTGAGTGGGTGAGAGAGTGGGTGATGGGAAGGGATGGTGATTTTGATGATGATGATGCTGATGATGAGGGTGTTGAGGAGGAGAGGGTGTGTGTGGAGTTTCCTGCGCGGGGGTGAGCAGAGAAGGCACGAAACCCACTTAAGATGTGGGGATCAACATCACACGCAGCGACTTTAGGCACAAGCTTGTCTCGTGGGTAAGACCTGAACACCTAAGCCCTACGGGGGGGGGGGGGGCGTACGCTCGAGGTTCGGGAGACTGGCAGCCGGGACTGCGGCTCGCAGAAGACTGCCATGTAGAAAATCGTTATCACCACCATCATCGTCATCCTCATCATCGTCATCCTCATCATCATCATCATCATCAACATCATCATCATCATCATCATCATCATGACCATCGCCATCATCCCCATCATCCCCATCATCCCGTCATCCCCATCATCCCAATCATCCCTATCACCATCATCACCACCATCATCATCATCATCATCATCATCATCATCATCACCATCACCACCATCAGCAGCAACATCATCCACGTCATCATCCTCACCATCATCATCAGCATTCTCATCACCATAATCATCATCATGACCACCACCACCATCACCACCATCATCATAATCATCAATAGCATCGTCAACATCATCATCACAACCATCATCATCATCATCCGCAGCAGCATCACCATCTCTATCATTATAATCACCATAAGCATCACCATGATAATCATACTCGTCATCATCATCATCATCGACGTCGTCGGCATCATCAACATCATCATCATGATCAGCAATATAATCGTCCTCCTCCTTCTCATCATCATCCCTCTCAGCACCATCATCGAACACCGTCATCATCATCACGATCATCATCAGCGGCATCATCATCATCATCACCACCATCATCATCACCATCACCATCACCATCACCATCACCATCACCATCACCATCACCATCACCATCACCATCATCATCATCATCATCATCATCATCATCATCATCATCATCATCATCATCATCATCATCCATCTCGTCGTCGTCGACGCGAACAGCTGCTACAGAGAATGCTGGGCTGGCACGGTGGCGGGACTTGCCGCAGGCAGCTGGATATCGTGCGGTGCACGTCCGACACCATAGAGCCGACGTACCTGGCACTGTACGGTTTGGTGCCCTCCTTCCACTTTTCGACTATCGACTGCATGGCGGCGTCCCAATTCTGGCTGTTGCCCTCATTGCAACTGTAGATCTTCTTCCCGCCACCCTCTGGAAGCTTGACATGCGCTTTGATGTGCACGAACTCCCCGAGCGACGGGTCCAGCGTGAAGCGGTGCACCCCGTGACCCTTGAAGGTTATGACGAGCTCTGTGGCGGCTCCATACATGCAATACCCAGCCACAAGGAGGTCGCTGCCTTTGCGCAAGACGTCATCCAAGGTGGCTGGTTCCTTTCCGCTGCTCTTCTTTTCGTAGATGCCGAAAATGGTCCCAGTGCTGACGTTGCAGTCGATGTTGCTGCTGCCGTCGAGAGGGTCGAACGCAACAATGAAGCGCCCCGCCTTCGCCGCGGGCACAAAGATGGGCTCCTCATTCTCCTCGGAGACCAGCACGGCGCACGTGCCGCTGTTCACCAGGGCGTCGATGAAGATGTCGTTGGACAGCACGTCCAACTTCTTCTGGTCGTCGCCTGTGGAGTTCACCTCGCCCGCGAGGCCGAACAAGTTTCCGATGCCCGCCTTGCAGCACGCGCGCGACGTGGCCTTGCAGGCGAGGGTCAGCGCCATCAGGAGGAGGGACATCTCGTGGTCCCCGGTGCGGGCCATGATGTACCTCTGCAGGGTGGGGAACTGGGCGACGCTCACGCTGTCCGCCGCCCCGGTGACCACGAGGTCTGGTTCCTCCGCGGTGGCCTTCGTCATGTCTTCTGGCTCTGTCACGGGCGGGCTTGCCGCTTCCTCCAGGTGCGGGGCAGGTGTGCCGCGCCCTCGGGGGGAACGGGGGGCGTCTTGGACGAAAAATGACTACGGCTGGGAGGGGCAACGACGTTGCACATCCAGTTTCCCGTGGAGTGGGTGGGCGAGAACAGCAGCCAGCAACTGAAGGAGCTGCGGCCGTCTTAAAGCACGGAAGCGCTAGGAGGACGAGGACGGGAGAGGAGGACAAAGAGGAAGAAAGTGAATTGGCCAGATGGTCGTCCTATCCTGACAAGCGGGTTCGATCCTTGCCCTGGTATCGTAAATCTGGTTGCTCTTCATCTCCCACCAAAAAAATTACGGGAGGTCACGTTTCGTGCCACAACTTTCTCATGCTAGATTCCGTTCGGCAAATACGAGGAATAGACAAAACCGTGCGCACGAGCACGCGCGCTCCTTTTTCACGCTAAGCGGCATTGGCACCTTGATCCTCGAGTACAGCTGCTGCGGAGACCCGCGGCACCAGTTAAAGGCTATCATAGCCATGGTACGACGGACTCCTGGCCAAGGTAGCTGGCATTAGCGGCAGGGGGAGCAATGGGATAGACTCCCCCCGCGGCCCCTCCTTGCGCGCCAGCCTTCGGGGCACCTCGCCAGGGCGCGTCAGCCCCAAACAACGTTTTACAGTGCAGCCCGTCCGAGTTTGTCCTTACTCCTGCTGCAGAGGCCCGGGCTCAGCAGCTCGACGTGGCCTCCGTTGATTAGACAGGCCCGCGGGGCGCACCGCGCTGGTCGCTCAACCATAGGCGCTCTGCCTCGCATGCTCGTCTTCGACCCCGCCAGCTACCGCTCTGCCAATCAGAATTCAATATCCCTCTGACTGCCACCAGAACTCCAGCTTGAATCTCCCTGGCTCCACCAATTCGACGAAGCCCACCACGACTCGCCAAACCCGCCCCCTTCGGTCCCGTTTCCTTTCCTCTTGCCATTGCCTGCATTCGCGCCCTTCGTCGCAAGGTCGCTGACCGCCATGGCCCCTCGGCGCTAATTTCCTGCCCCCTTCGGCGTAGGCGCTCTCACGCCCACTCGCGCGGCCATCAGATCTGTCAAGGCCATCTCGAACACTGGCCGTCTCCGACCTGTGCATCGGGGGCGTCGGCGGCGCGGGGGACGGCAGATCCGGCTGCCGTGCCGCGCCCCTCATGGGCAGATCCTGCGCCACCCCGGTAGCCGAGCTCCCAGCGGCGGCCCCAGCTGCCCCAGGGTCGGGCCCCCCAGCGGCAGCGCCCCCACGTCTTGCCCAGAAGTCGCAGGAACGCCCAGCGAGGGGGCAAGGGCCCCCTCTGCCAACGCCAACCTGCATGGCCGAGGCGGCCTGGTTTCCGCTGGTTTCCCTCGCGGCGCGAGCCCCCAGCGCGGCGTTTTCCAAAGCTTTGCTAGCAGTGCTTTCCACGCTGGATCGAACCAGCATGCATGATCACCACCGCGGTCAGCGCATCTCCGAACGTCGCGACTTTGCATCGAGGGGCTGGCGCGTGTCCGTTGGCACCCAGACCACCCAAGCACATTCTGGCATTTCCTGGCAGGTCTCGTGCCACCCTCGCGGGCAATGTCTACCTCGGCCGATGCGCGGCGTCGAGGTCTAGAACGGCATTTCCCATCCAGATCTCGTCGCGAATCTCCTGAGCGCGCCAATCGAGATAGTCCTCGAACGTGGCGTCGCCCCCACCCGCGCCAGAAGCCTCGCCAGGGTCCGGGCGCATCTTTGCTGCCTCGACAACCATCCCCGCAAGCGACCTGGGCAGCCAATGGCGACCCTGGAAAGTAGCTACGAGCCGCGAAGTGGCCTCTCTCTGTGTCGGCAGGGTGGCTTGACGACGAGACCAGAGAACCTGGCGGGCCTTGGCTGTATGGGGCCACCTGCCCGACCAGAAGCCCCGGCATGCTGCCTCCATCGGTCACTGCCGGGGACCTGGCGCGGGCGGCGCACCGCCCGCCTCGGAGGCAGCGCGCCTGACGGCGGAGACGGCGTCCCTCTCTGCCGCGGCGAGCTTGAACCTACGACCGATCTCTCGGGCCGCGCATGTCCCCGGCGAGCGCAGCGTCCGCGCGCTGCTCCACCCCTCCCTCGCAATACTGTCAGATTCCCGCGCGGGTGGCCTGCCAGTTACAGGGGCGCCGATGGGGGGGTGAACCAAGGAATCATGTTTTCACATGGCGCAAAGTGGGATCACGCTCTGCGGTCCGCCGCCCGCCCGCTGTAGCGCGGCAGCGCAGGGTGGAAGGGGGAAAGAGGTACAACCTGCCCGAGCCCGAAAGGCCGCGAGGCAGGAAAAGAAGGGGAAGGAATGCAGGCGAGTGGGAGCTGGGGAATCCTACTTTTACCGCCTAAGCCCAACACGACCACATTCCCGCGCGGATGACCCACCAGTTTCAGGGGCACCGTGGGGGGGTCCTATATCCACGTGGCGCAAAATTAAGCGGCCGCTCTGCGGTCCGCCGCGCACCGCTGCAGTGCCGCGGGGCCCCGACCCCTCCCAAACAAAAACGAACCCGTCGCGACGCCGATTAGGGGAACGCTTCCTGAGCGGCGTTGCTTCGAATGGCTTGGCCTTGCATTGTATTGCATTGCATTGCTCGGCGTTGATATGTGTGTTGCTTGGTGTTGCTTTGCCTCGCTTGGCATTGCTTGGCACTGCTTGCTATTGCTTGGCATTGCTTTGCATTGCTTCGCGTTGCTTGGCATTGCTTTGCGCTGCTTGGCGTTGCGTGGCATTACTTAGCGTTGCTTTGCCTCTCTTGGCATTGCTTGGCGCTGCTTGGCGTAGCCTGGCATTACTTAGCGTTGCTTTGCATTGCTTGACGTTGCTTGGCATTGCTTGGCGTTGCATGGCACTGCGTTGCTTTGCGCTGCTTTGATGTGCTTGGCGTTGATTGGCTTTGTGCTGCTTTGATATGCTTGGCGTTGCTTGGCGTTGCTTGACGTTGCCTGGCGCTGCCTGGCACTGCTGGGAAACAAGACCAACGACCAGGGCGGGGAACCCGAGGAACCCGAGGAACCACCGAAGAACAAGCAACGAAAGAATAGGAGGCACCGGGGGCGGGGAACCCGAGGAACCCGTGAAACCTCTGGGCAACGGGCAAAGTATAACAATGTGAGGCACCGGGGGCGGGGGGCCCGAGGGGCCCAGGGAATCCGAGAAACCCCGGGGCAACTGGTAACGCAACAACAGAAGGCGCCAACCTTTAACCAAGTCGTAACCCCTTAGGCAAGCCTACTTAGTTTGGGAAAGACGAACGCCAGCGCGCCCGCCTGGCCGCGCGCATTCGGGGCATCCGCGCACGCGAGCGACGCGGGGTGGCCTCCGAAGAGAAGGCGCGGCGAGAAGGAGGGCCTTCCGCTGGCGGGCGCCTCCCAAGAGGTGCGCCGCGGCGGGGCCGGAGCGCCAGGGGCGCGAGGCAGGCGGCTGCTGGCGGGCATGCGCGGAGCGCGCCGCGGGAGGGCCGAACAAAATATGTGCACCGAGTGCCCAGTGCCGCTCCTTCACCGAAGAGGGGGGGGGGTCCGCGCGGGGCGCGTGGCAGGCGCGAGGTGCACCGCCCGCCCGGTTTTTGGCGGGCGTCGCCGGGGGAGCGGAAGTACACCATCATGGTCCCAGGGAACGTGGTCGGCTCCACGTGCGGGGGGCCGTTGTCCTGAGGGGGCGCCTCCGCGGGGGTCCACTGGCCCCTCGTCTGGGGGGAGCTTCCCGGCCAATCCGCCAGGCGATTCGATGGGCCTCACCCACTTGAGGGCGTAGGGGCTCTCACTGGCGAGCCTGTACCTTCGCACTCTCCATGCCGCTTCCAGGAGGTATCCTCGCCAGGGGTGCCCTCAAACAAATACTTCGGGCCTCGTCCCGCCGTCTCCCTCGTCCATTATTCATGTTTCCTCCTCCCCTTCTCGTGGCCCATCCCACCTCCTCCCTGCTCGCTCGAGGCATCTCCAGGATTTGCTCAAGCATGACTCCTCCCTGAGAAATTCTTGCATTTACCAGGGAACCGGGCTCGTGCGTCAGCGCACCTCCTCCGTTGGGCCCGGGGCACCCAGACCCCTCCCAAAGTACAGGTCGACAACAGAAGAGTAATCAAATGGTTCGTTCGGGCCTGACCCCTCCCCCCTCCTTCTCCTCCTCCTCCTCCTCCTCCTCCTCCTCCTCCTCCTCCTCTTCCTCCTTCCCTCTCTGAGCCCAGAGTTGCGAGGATGTCTCGGGCGAAACGGGTCAGAGCACCTCGCGCGAAGCATCTCGGAGCTCCGACTTGCGAGAATGTCTCAAGCGAAACCAGCCAGACCAGCTCGCGCACATTTTCTCGAGCCCCGAGTTGCGAGGATGCCTCGTGCGAAACAAGCCAGAGCACCTCTCGCGCGGCATCTCGGACCCCAGTCGCGAGGAAGTCTCAAGCGAAACAGGCTGGACCAACTCGCGCGCGACAGTTGGGAGCTCAGAGCAGCGAGGATGTCTCAGGCGGCTTCCAGACCCCTCCCAGAACACAATTCGACGACAGAAAGCGTAATCAAATGGTTCGATTGGGTCTGGGCCCCAGGCTGTGCTTCTCGCCTCTCATCCGACGTCGTTTTCGTGCCGTCGGCCCCCGGGGCTTCGACCACTCCCAAAACGCCGGATTTGAATCATGACACCTGTTTTTGTTGGTCCTGGGGCATGGAAGCGGCCTCCAGCCGTCCGTCGCATCTTTTTTGCGTCGCCCGAGTTGGGCCCGGCGAAAGCTGCTGCACATGGCCGCTGGCTCCCGGCCCGAAGCGGGCGCCCTTGGCACGAGCGTGAGCACCGCACGGGCCGGGCCAGCCTAGGAGTGTGCGCATGAGCGGCGCGCCGTCGCAGAGTAGGCCTGCCCCGGTCGGGGCAGCTTGAAAACAGCGCTCGGATTGCGCCAACGTGCTCAGGCACTGTTCGTAGATGGGGAAGCATTTCCGTACACACGGCCTCGCGGGCTGGGCCCCCTGGCAG